AAGGTTCATTTATGTTGTGACATGCATCAGGACTTCACTGGTTTTTATGGCAGAGTAATTAATATTCCATTGTATATATATATATCACATTTTATTTATCCATTCATCTGTTGATGGACATTTGGGGTGTTTCTACCTTTTAGCTATTGTGAATAGTGTTGCAATGAACATTGGTGTACATGTGTCTGTTTGCATTGTTGCTTTCAAGTCTCTTGGGTGTATACCTAGGAGTAGCATTGCCGGGTCATGTGGTAGCACTATGTTTAACTTCTTGAGGAAATTGCCAAACAGTTTTCCACAGTGGCTGTACTGTCTTAGTTATCTAGTGCTGCTATAACAGAAATACTATAAGTGGGTGGCCTTAATGAACAGAAATTTATTTTCTCACAGTTTAGGAGGCTAGAAGTCTGAATTCAGGGTGCCAACTCTAGGGGAAGGCTCTCTCTATCTGCTTTGGGGGAAAATCCTTTCTTCTCAGCATCCCTTGAAGATGTCTACCTGGCATCTATCTTTCCCCCATTCCTGCTAGCTTGCTTCTGTGCCTAAACTGTTCCTTTTATATCTCAAAAGTGATTGGCTTAAGACCCACCCTACACTGACATGACCTCATTAATATAACAGAGGAAATCCTGTTCCTAGATAAGATTTTATCCACATGTGTAGGGGTTAAAATTTACAACGCCTATATATTTTTTTAATTCTTTTTTTATTGTACTTTAGATGAAGATTTACAGAACAAACTAGTTTCTCATTAAACAGTTAGTACACATATTGTTTTATGACATTGGTTAAGAACCCCGCGACTTGTCAACACTCTCCCTTTTTGGCCTTGGGTTCCCTATTACCAGTTTTCCTGTCCCCTCCTGCCTTCTAGTCCTTGTCTCTGGGCTGGTGTGCCCCTTTAGTCTTGTTTTGTTTTATGGGCCTGTCTAATCTTTGGCTGAAGGGTGAACCGCGGGAGTGACTTCATTACTGGGCTAAAAAGGTATCCGGGGGGCCATACTCTTGGGGTTTCTCCAGTCTCTGTCAGACCAGTAAGTCTGGTCTTTTTTTGTGAGTTAGAATTTTGTTCTGCATTTTTCTCCAGCTCTGTCCTGGACCCTCTATTGTGATCCCTGTCAGAGCAGTCAGTGGTGGTAGCCGGGCACCATCTAGCTCTACTGGACTCAGTCTGGTGGAGGCCTTGGTAGCTGTGGTCCATTAGTCCTTTGGACCTAATCTTTTCCTTATATCCTGTTCTCTTTATTTTCCCTGGCTCCTGAAGGGGTGAGACCAGTGGAGTATCTTAGATGGCCACTCACAGGCTTTTAAGACCGCGGACACTACTCACCAAAGTAGAATGTAGAATATTTGCTTTATAAACTATGTTATGCCAATTAAGCTAGACGTTCCCTGAGACCATGGTCCCCACAGCCCTCAGCCCAGCAATTTGGTCCCTTAGGGAGTTTGGATGTGTCTGTGGAGCTGCCATGACCTTGCCTTGTACAAGTTGTGCTGGCTTCCCCAGTACTGTACAATACATATTTTGGGGGAACACATTCAATTCATAACATGTACCATTTTACATTCCCACCAGTAATGGGTGAGGGTTCCAATTTCTCCACATCCTTGACAACATTTGTTATTTTCTTTTTCTTTCTTTTTTTTAATCTTAGCGAGTATGGGAGTGAAGTGGTATCTCATTGTTGTTTTGATTTGCATCTCCCTAATTGCTAATCTGAGCCCTGGTGGCACAGTGGTTAAGGGTTCGGCTGCTAACCAAAAGGTCAACAGTTCGAATCCACCAGCCACTCCTTGGAAACCTTATGGGGCAGTTCTACTCTGTCTTATAGGGTTGAAATCAACTTAGTGGCAATGGATTTGGTTTCGGTTAAGGGCTAATCACTTTCTTTAAAAAAATTTTTTTTATTGTACTTTCGATGAAGGTTTACAGAATAAATAGTTTCTCATTCAACAGTCAGTACACATATTGTTTTATGACATTGGTTAATAACCCCATGACATGTCAACACTCTCCCTTTTCGACCTTGAGGACCTTTTTTTTATGAAAATATACATAGCCAAAGTTACACCATTTGAAAAGTTTCTACATGTACAATTCAGTGATCGATTACATTCTTCCAGTTGTGCCGCTGTTCTCACTGTCCCTTTCCAACTTATTCTATCACCATTATCTTCAACTCACTG